CAGAGTTTAGGACAAGATTTCTACCTTGACTGTGGCATCACGAGCAGCAAGGGCGAGAATATCGGCGCATGATACAATTCCAGGACACTGGGCCTCTAGCGCCGCTTTGATTTGGTCGATTTCGTGAAATCCTCGAAGCGATCCAGCATTGGGTCGTGCATCCTTCTCAGCGGTGTTGGTTGGCGAATGTAGGAGCACGGAAGCATCGCAGCCCTGCACCATGGACATCACGATACTGTTAACAGAAGTTATCAGGTGGAAGTTTGGTACATACTAAGATCTCATTGGAATAGTCCACTTATTTCGTGAAAGTCTGCTCCTGAAATCGTAGAGTATGGTGGAGTGGAGTTGTGAAAACTCACCCTCACGAAGCAGTCGTGAAAATGCAGTCGCAGGAATCCCCCGGCCAGGTTTTTGTTGGCCTTGAGAAAGTTGTTGACCATGTCCGTCACTATGGTCGTTGCTTGCGGGCATGAGTCCTTGTAGTAATCAGCACCACTGTAGGAGTGAGCGTCTGTTGTTATAGCCAGTAGAATCAGTCCCAATATACTCAATAAACGCAAAGGCGGAAACGAGCACATCTTGAGAAAGATTGATCGATGCGCTCGTTTTGCGTCGAATTGTGCAGGTCGACGTACAAAACTGAAAGGTGACTCCGATTTTCCCCTGAAATTGTAAAGTTGATATGAATCGTCGATGCGCCTGAAGTTTTGAAGCACTTGATTCTCCTTCCAAGGATGATTATACTGGACTTCAGGGAGTGTAGATCTGCAGGCAGCAATTGAATCTGATAGTTGTGGTTTTGATGAAATGCTGGGCTCACCCTGGAGATATATACACTCCGGCTTAAGAGCGTCGTTTACACGTCAATGTGTGTACGATGTGGACTTGGTACAGAGGAGCGTGGACTTATAGATCTGATGAATGTGGCAATGTGGAACGGTTCCACAAGGTCATGGCATACGCCAAAACTTGTCTATTTGTATCCTACCCAAAGAGTTGACTAAGTCATCATAATTACAACAGCACAAGTTGAAGCGATTCCGGTGATATCTCGTGGTGACTATAGACCAAAAAAAAGAAGTTTGCTCTCGGATTCACAGTGAAAAACACAAAAAGGACCTGTATGTTTTGTCTCCTAGTAAACATTCCTTTCCTTGTAGATGGCCTTGTATCGAGTCTTCGGAAGCGAACGTCAACAATAGGATACGGCATGTGCCCCCATTACCCTAGGCTTGGAATGTGGGCAGTTCAACGGGGAGAGCTATGTTTGTTGCTGAGTTGCGATCAGAACGCACATCGTCCGGCAGGCGCATGCATGCAGACTAGAGTGTGTGCTGCACTGGTCAGATGTGACCTCTAGAGTCTTATTTGCCCGCGGCATTCAATCACAGTGATCGTGTGAAAGCCCTGGAGGCGTTAGCAGTCCAGCACAATGGAACGAGTTTCAGATCAGGTCGGGAAGAATAGAATATGCATGTGAGCACAACGTCTTCCAATCCGACCACTCAGTCCGCCATCTGGAACCAAACGAGTGACCCGAATGGATGATAGGACGCTAAAGTGTCAAGTACGAAAAATGGGCCCATCTTTTCGCAAAAACGTGGTGAGAAAAACGTGGGATTATGTTCAGGCTACATTTTGGCCGACACAGACATTGCTGACGGCTGGGAGACGCTAACAATTCAGTGGAAGCCCTGGTTACCGTTTGACCTGACCATGCGTAGGGTGGGAAGTTACAGTCTCCGACCCCAATTCTGGAGGCTGGTGTGTTTAAGATGGCGGCTAGGAGTACCAATCTCGAAAGGATGATTGCGCGTTAGTTGAGTATACACGATGGCTACATACCGCAAAGGAAACCCTCTTCCTAGAGTCACACCAGGGGTAATTGCTCTCATGATAAATCCCTCCTACTCCAGGGATAAAATATGTCATCATTACACCTTCTAGATGCAATTCTTTTGTATACTAATTTGCATGCGAAAGGACCGCATCCTGTTGAATACGATTCTCTGAGGGTTAGGAATGTTGCAATTACACTGCTCGAGCTTACAAGCCAATGCAAGTATGGAAGACCTTGTGACGAATGATGTGCACGTAATTAGATACACGTCGTTCTATGCACAAGGTCGACCTGCATAAGGCCATTATCTTGGGCTGTTATTCTGACGTTGACGCTAGTCCCAGTTCGTAGCCCTGGAAGAAATTCCGACTGAAACTCTTCCGTTTGCAGTCTTTGCATTTCCCTTTTCATGTAGTAATCTCTGAAAATTCTGATAAAATGAATTCTGTGATGATTAGAAGCAGAAGGTAATCTATTTTTCTAACTCGCTCAGCCATGAAACGCTACCAGAATTGTGGCACTTTCAGCCAGCACGTTGAGATCCCTCATTGCATCAGGATAAGAAGGTAAATGGTAAATAGATCAAGCCCGTGGACCCAAACGGTCAAAAGGCTGAAAAACACATAACAAGTCACTCATTCACTGACCAGGAAAAAGAATTGCAACTCCAGACGTATCCAGTCTACAATATGACCCGCTTAGAGATTGCAGACGTGTGCTTTGGTGGACTGAGGAGTCATCCCTCCCATGGTGGATACCAAGTTTGTACGCTAGTGTTGAATCAGATGTGCCGATCAGCAGATTAAAGGTCTCGGTCCGCTTACAGATAACGAGGATCTAAATCCGATGCTTCTGCCTAACCTGAATTTTGAATCGAAGTCTACAGTCTGTTCCATTTAGAAGTCTTGGAAGCCTCTGGTGGAAATTCAGTTGTCAGAGGTCGCTCCACCTTCTTCTTTTCACAGATTGAATACATACTTGTGAGCTTAATATTTCTCCAATTTAACCGTGAAGAGCAGGCAACGAAATACGGATGCAAATGTAATAAAATCGTCATTCTGAATCTTCAGTCAGTGATTGAGATACATTTGCTATATCATTGTAACATCATGTCAAAATTACTGGCGTTTCACAGGTTAGTCTTCCAGACTAGACCAGTGTACTCAGTTTAGTAGAGATTTCCATGTCGGCGGTGCTCATCTACTGACAACTCATTGCACTTGAAACCTCCTGGACTAGTATGGCCGACAAGTAAACTAGGAAGCTGGTACCAACCTACAAACCTAAGACGTAGAGCTTGGATGAAAATAGCTCAGTTTTCAAGCTTTGGATTCTCGTGCTCTCGTTAACACTATAGAGGTGAGAACAGATGCAGAGACTTGATCTCTGAAAAACTTCGTGTTCCTGGGTGCACCACTGACTGCAACGAGGGACCACTGGCGCTGACCATTGTTATAATAAAGAATGGTTCAACACGAACAAGACGCTGCAAAATGCATAGATAGGTCTTCAGTGTACGCGATCAAATTGTAAACCACATGTTCGACGACTCCGGCCTTCAGACCCGGTCTAGTAGCATAGTTTCGATTTAGCTGTTTTTATGGAGAAGGTTTTGATCTAGGTGGGCCCACTCACTAAATGGCGTTAACTAAGGTCCCAGGGTTCGGGGCTCCGATGGAAATGGACATTGCGTAGTGAGTTTCTTTAAAGCATTTCTGGATTTGCAGAGAATCGTTGGAATATTTCCTCGGGAACGTAAACGTCGGAAATTCTGTAGATAAGCAGGCAAGGTGAACCTGAAACGACAAAGTCAGAATGAAAGTCAACTGCTGTCATGTTGCGGTCGAGCCTTGTCAGCACCAGAAAACGAAGTTACAAGTAAAGACTGCAGACTTGGTTCTCACTCGTCAGGTAAAGACTTTGTTAGCTCGGTTGGTGACGATAGAACCCCTCTGGTCAAAATGAGATTCGCATACTTAATATTGTTCAGCGGAGATACTACTGTACTTTCCTTGGCAAAATTGTAAATTTTTTAGTGGGTAATGTAAGTATTTGCATGAGCACGAGACTTCTGGCAGCTGGAGGCTAGTCCATATAAAAAAGATGTCATTTTTTCGTTTAGAGATTAGCCCAACTAGTGATTAAATCTGCATTGAATAAATCTATTAAAATGATCCAGCATGACAAGATTGATAATTTTTTAATACGCAATTTACAATTGTGATCAGTTTAAAGAGAATGAAGGTCGCTTTGTATCTCATAGGAACTATTTCATGACATTTATAGAGTGTCTTATCACCTTCCTGGTGTAAGTAAATATATGGATACATGGAGTTTTCAAGTAGATGTAATTGAAGAGGAATTTTTTTAATGAATGTGTTGAGGTTGGTGTGAAGTATAAATACTTTCTGTATGCCAAAATAACATCGGGTACATAATAAAAACTCGAATTTATTATATCTTTCATTAAGTTGTATGCAAAAATCACAATTTTCATTTGGAAGTATTTTTGAATATTAAATCATTCAAAATACTATAATTTTATTAATTCTTAAATTTAGTCAGTAATTCATAAATCATTATTCTTTGGATTTTTTCAAAACATGAACACATATCTTGATACAGTATAATTTGACCAATCATTCAATTTGTCTGAAATTATACTACATTTTTACTATCATGATGAAAATTGAAAACATATTGTTTCAATTTCATGTCCATGATAATCTTATTCAACGAACTAATATACTTTGCTTCTTTTGCTACAGTTATACCTTTGGGTTTCCTTTGTTGATTAAGTTATGTAATAATGAACTAATGTAAAATATATCTCCAATAAAAAAATAAAATAAACATTTACCTTATAATAGGTTTTTCCTTGTTGGGATTTTTTCTAAATTAACATAAACCTAACTTTATAAAAATTTATTATAATTTAATAAACCATCAAACAGGTTGTTAAGGAAGATGGTAGAATATATTTGTTATCCAGGATATCAAAATATGTTTCATTGGAAATTACATAAGCTTTATCTGCATACTCAGTTGAAAATTTACCAAATAGTGAAATCTTTTCTCTTATATACTTACTCTATAGCTGTACCAATGAAGATTCTTGTATACAAGGATGAACACAGATACTTATTTGCATTTGAAGACAGTTGGGGATTACGTTATGTATGAGCAAATGATAGAGTTTTGAGACAAGATTACATATGACTCCCTATAAAATGATGTTTTGTAATTTTTTTTATACAATCATCTTCAATATATAGTATGCCATGTTGCACCTCTCTATGATGGAGAAGGTTCAGCAAATGAATGAATTCTGTACATCCTCTCGACTACCTAAAACTCAGAGCCTCTGCTTTCCAAGTTTTTGACAACAATTATACTCGGAAGAGGAATCTATGATCATTTGTGCTTTTCAAAAATGAGGCTTCGTTTCTAATTGCCGCCGCCAGCACCGCGTCTACATTGTAACTTCTTGATTTGCCTAATTCATGACAATCTGCGAATCAAGCATTCGTTATTGGTTGATGATTGAACAGATTCTGCGAACCTCGCCGTCAGCGGCCCATTGGATGTTGCTCATCTTCGTCATGGCTGCTGCGAAGTCACTGGAGAACGAAGAGCCGGCCTTCGAGTATCGAGTCACAAGCTCCTTTCCCACTGGATTCGTCAATAAGTTTGCATCTGACTGGAAGAGACCTTTGTTGTTCAAGACTGCCTTGAAGTACAGATGGTCGAAGGTGTTCTTGGTGGAATCCATGGATAGCGTGCTTCCAGGTTCGTTCTCTGGGCACTTCTTCTTGAGCTGTTTCGCTAAAGAGGCGTCGATCGATGGATCGGTGAGTCCGGCAACTCCGTTGAAGTTATAGAGACGAGACTGAACTGCTCCGCATGATGATCGGCCGATGGTGTGGCCTCCGGAGAGAATGACCATTTCCTCCTGCGTGAATCCCACATCCCCGAAGTTCTTTACGAGTTCGTCGTAAGTCGAGAATGGTGATGGAAGCTTGTCATCCGCCTCGGAGGAAATCGAAACTTTGCCATCTTTGCGACCGAGATCCAGTGACCAGCTCTGACCTCCAACCTGAAAGTGCAATGAAAGTCAGTCTAGGTAACATTCATTGTGTGAAGATTATAATGGGATCAAAACTCTGAAGCGTGAAAATTACTGGCGCGAAGTAAAGTGAGGAGAGTTTAGGACAAGATTTCTACCTTGACTGTGGCATCACGAGCAGCCAGGGCGAGAATATCGGCGCATGATACAATTCCAGGGCATTCGGCCTCCAGCGCTGCTTTGATTTGGTCGATTTCGTGAAATCCTCGTAGCGATCCAGCATTGGGTCGTGCATCCTTCTCAGCCGTGTTGGTTGGCGAATTTAGGAGAACGGAAGCATCGCAGCCCTGCACCATGGACATCACGTTACTGTCAACAGATGTTTTCATATGGAGGTTTGGTGCATACAAAGGTCTGATTCGAATGGTCCATTCACTTCTTGAAAGTCTGCACCTGAAATCGTAGATTATGGTCGAGAGGAATAGAGAAAACTCACCCTCACGAAGCAATCGTGAAAATGCAGTCGAAGGAATCCCCCCGCCAGGTTTTTGTTTGCCTTGAGAAAGTTGTTGACCATGTCCGTCACTATGGTCGTTGCTTGCGGGCATGAGTCCTTGTAGTAATCAGCACCACTGTAGGAGTGAGCGTCCGTGGTTGTCGCCAGTAGAATCATTCCCAACATACTCAGTAAACGCAAAGGCGGAAACGAGCCCATCGTGAGAATGCTTGATCGATGCGCTCGTTTTGCGTCGAATTGTGCAGGTCGACGTACAAAACTGAAAGGTGACTCCGAATTTCCGCTGAAATTGTAAAGTTGATATGAATCCTCTGCGGCTGAAGTTTTGAAGCACTTGATTCTCCTTCCAAGGATGATTGTACTGGACCTCAGGAAGTGTAGATGTGCAGGCAGCAATTGAATCTGATAGTTGTGGGTTGGTGGAATGTTGGGCTCACCCTTCACATATATACACTCCGGCGGCGGAAGAGCGCCATTTACACGTAAACGTCTGTACGATGTGGACTTGGTACAGAAGAGCGTGGACTTATAGATCTGATGATTGTGGCGATGTGGAACGGTTCTACAAGGTCATGGCATACGCCAAAAACTGTCTATTTTGGTCCGACCCAAAGTTGACTAAGTCACGACAGCCTTCACCCTTCGCAGTACAAGTGATATCTGTTGGTATTCGTCGACGAAACAAGTTTGATCTCGGATGATCAGGGAGAAACATAATAGTTACTTCCATGCAAAGTCGCCTTTCAGATGGAAATGGCGTCAGAAGATTTCCTTGGAGCATTCAGCGATTGCACTGAGTCTTCCAAAGGAACATGAACAGTGGAAAATGACTCTTGCGTCCATTACCGTACGCTTTGGAAGTGGGGAATTCAACCGGAATAACAACGTGGGATTGCAGAGTTTCGATCCAAACGCAGATCGTCCGGCACACGCAAGCATGCAGACTAGAGTGTGTGCGGCGGTAGTCAGATGTGACCTCTAGAGTCTCTTTTACCTGCAGGATACGAGGACGGTGATCATGTAGAAGCCCTGGAGGCGGTGGCAGTGGAGCACGATGGATCGAGATTCAGATGAGGTCGAATAGACTAGAATGTGCATGCGCAGTACATCGTCTTCCAATGAAACCACTCGGTCCGCCCGAGCGGTCTGATCAGAGACCCGAATTGAGCGATAGGACGCGAACAGCGTCACGTCAATAAAGAGAACTATGGGCCCATCTCCATCATCCTGATGAGGAAAAAGTTTGATTCTGTTCAGGCTACGTTTACATGGCTGCCCACGAAGATTTTCCTGGCGGCTGGGAGACGCTGACACTTCAACCATAGTCCTGGTTACCAATTGACCTGACCATGGGTAGAGCGGCACGAGGAGTCTCCGACCCCAACTCTGGAGGCTGCTGTGTTTAATTTGCGGCTTATGCGTTGCCTACCGAAGGATGCTTGCGCGGTAGATGAGGATACACGGCAGCTACACACCGCAAGGAAAACTCTCCTCCTAGAGTCAGACCAATTGTTCTCGTGACAAATTGTTTCTACAAACCCTTGATACCATTCTATTGTATACTTTGCATGTGAAGGAATTGCATCCTGCTGAATACATTTCGTTCAGAATTTGGGATGCTGCAATCGTTCTGCTTGAGCTTGCAAGTCCATGCAAGTATGCAGGATCTCATGATGAATCGCGTGGACTCGATGGGATCCACGTCATTCCAGGTACAATGCTGATCTGCTCTCGTAGGGATCTCTGAGCTGCTATTTTGACATTGACACTAGTCTCACTTCGTAACCCTGAAAGAAAATCCAACTGCTAGCGGTACCAGTCTAAAAGTTCTGCTCTGCCCCATGTAGGATACAAAAGACTCTTCTTAACCTTGCAATACTTTGAATTTTGCTTTTGAATGGAGGCATTCATGGAGTAATCTCTGAGCATTTTGATAACATGATAATTATGATCATCAGAAGAAGAATGTAATCGAAACCGGTAATCTTCTAACTCGCTGAAATACTCAAGCTGGTGGCATTTCACCAGCTTGAGTATTTTCAGATGCATTGATGTGACACCTTCTCTCAGCCAGAACGTTAAGACCCTTCATTGCATCAGGATAGGGAATTATAGCAATTCCAGACGTATTTAAACTGCAAGTTGGTTCAAATGACCCGCTTAGAAATTACAAACGTGTGCTTTGTGGACTGAGGAGTCATCCTTCCTATGGGCGATGAACGGCCTGATCAAATACCATGTTGTGTTGAACCAGATATGTCAATCAGCCAGATAAAAGATCTCGCTTTGTTTTCAATATTTCCTTGACCTGACTCCGATGTTGTGCTTCGTAACCTCAATTTGAATCTACCTATCGTTTGAATTAGAATTTTCAGAAGACATCTGGGGAAAACAGTTATCAGAGATCTCTCGGAAAACAGTTGTCAGAGACCTTCTTTCGAGAATTTCAGATACATACTTGTGAAATTCTTACAATGTGACTGTGAAGAGCAGGCACTAAAATACGGATGCCAATTGCTAGACGTCATTCTCAATCTTCAGTCAATGACAGATACATTTGCTTCATTACAGTACCATCAGGTCAAAATTACTGGCGTTTCAAATGTTGGTCTTCCACACTAAGACCAGTGTACTCTGTTTAGTAAAGGAATCCATCTCAGTTGTGCTCATCTACTGAAAAATCACTGCGCCTTAAACCGCCTGGACTAGATGGCTGCACTGTAGAGGTGAACACAGTTGCAGACATTGAATTCTGAAAGACTTAATGTTCCTGGATGCACCTCTGAGTGCAGCTCGGGACCTCTGGCGCTGACATTTTTTGTAATAAAGAATGGTTCAACACGAACATGACGCTGCAAAATGCATAGATAGGTCTTAACTGGACGCGATCAAAATGTAGACCACATGTTCGACGACTCCGGCCTTGAGACCCGGTCGAGTAGCATAGTTTCGATTTAGCTGTTTGTATGGAGAAGGTTTGGATTAAGGTGGGCCCACTTACTAAATGGGTTAAGGAAGGTACCAGGATTCGGGGCTCCCATGGAAATGGACATTGCGCAGTGAGTTTCTTGAAAGCATTTCTGGGAATGCCGTGAATCTTCCGGACTTTTCCTCTAGAAAATGTAAGCAGGCAAGGTGAACCTGAAACGGCAAATTCAGACTGAAAGGCAAGTGCTGTCATTTTGCGGTCGAGCCTCGTCAGGACCAGGAAACGAAGTTTATGTCCTCCAAAGTTGCGAAGTAGTAGAGACTGCAGAGACTGCAGACTTCGTTCTCACTCATCAGATGGAGACTTTGTTAGCTAGGTGTTTGGCGATAGAACGTCACTGGTCACGGTGAGCTTCGCGTATATAGAATTGTTCAGCGGAGATACTGCTTGGTATTTCCTGTCTAATTATAGTACTTTAGTGTTGGCATCATCACGAGACAGCTTGCAGTTACTGGCTACGTCATGAAGACAGTAGTAGCTGAGAACGTCTGTACTTCAGCTAGAAATTGGATTGTAGTGCAAAATTGTCTCAAATATTCTAGCGTTCCAAAATCCCAACAAACATTAAAAAATCAAATAAATAAAGTCAGCTAGATGTATGACTATTTCTCATAGTAGAGACATTTATAGACTGTCTGATAGGCTACCTAGAGAAAAAGAAAAGTGAGAGGTTTTCTTTTCTTTACTGAAACACCTCTTCTATATTGGAGTATCGGATCAGATCACTGGAAACTCACATACTTCAACTGATGTACATGATTTCTCTATCATACTAATTTATATTTCAACAAAATGCAAATTGGTATTACCTGTAAATGCAATGTTTAAGAATCGTAATTGTCACTTGAAACTCGGCATTGGGAATTTTCCCATATATATGCGATTGCAATGAGATTCTTTTCAATAATAAAATGGCTTTATTTTTAATTACAAAATAATTTACTCTCCCGCCGACAGGGATCAGAGTCTTGTCATCACGGTGTTAACTTTAATGCAAATGTCTGAATGCTGGGAATATTGGATCGAAAATATTGTATTATGTTTCTCGTTGACTTGGATGAAGAATCTGGAAACTTTATTGGTATGGGATTATTTTTACTCAATTGTAAATAATACATCATATTTTTTTCGTTGAAAATTTCTCATCGTCCAGATGTGAATATTGATATACATTTCACCCACTTGTGTAATAGAGTTCACTATATATAGATATAAATATACTTGACTTTGCGTAGTATATGTAATGTGAGAAATCAAACTATTCTTAGAAGTTTTTAAAGGATAAAAAACCCTCTAGGCGGCGATAGACGATATTAAAATGAGGCAGAGTTAACTCATGAAATTCATTCATTTCCATGACGTGGACAACTTACATCATAATCATGTGAGATTTTATTGTAATAATCTTGTGTGATTTGTGTGTGCGTTGAAAAATGGAAAGAGAACATTCTCACAATTGTTCACAGTGTACTGTCATCATTGTGATAGAGATTGGGATGTTTCGTGAAATTCGGATCGCGGCAGATGATGCTTGATCTTTGTTTTGTGATACGACCGAGCATACAAATGACACGTTTAATCTTGTTGCCACAATGATTAGAGACAGAACTATTAATCTTGGTGGGCCTAATAACTTTCACGTCGACCTTCATGCTTAATCCGAAAGGTTCGGTCCCATAATGTTGTTCTGCTAGAGAATTGAGAAGTGGCTGGTAAGCATCCACCTGCGACTCATCAACTCTCGGCCACCTTGTGAGAATCTCCAGATTGACGACATGAGGAGAATCACGAACAATTGCGTATGTGCAGCCAGATTCCAATGGCAGCCGCGGTTGGGTAACTTAATGGATCTCTTGATAGAGGCAGATGAACTTGGACAAGACGGTCACTGTTATGTCAAGTGTTCGAGGCGGTGATGCCGAGCCTCCTCAAGGCCAAGGAAGTACTGAAGCGAATTTTGAAGGTGCGGTACCTGCGGGGCCACGTCCTTCACAGCCGTCACTCCGCTGGGGAGGTGAGTGCGCCTACTACGGAGGCTTGGGGAAGTCAATGAAGACGTCAAAGTGCGCATACCAGGACCTGCACCAGCTCCACAGCCTCGCTTAGCTCGACGACGAGGTCGACCTGCATGCCTCGGAAATCGGCCCTAATGGGAGCTCGAAGCTCATCGGAGTGCTTCAGATGCAATACCTAGCGCAAGTCGACCGCGAGAGGATGCCTCCTGCTCACGGCGGGCTTTTTGTATATCCAAAGGCTATCTGCTTATCTCATGTCCTGGTACCTGTAGCCCAGCTGGCGATTGTCCAGCGTATCCTTGACCTTCACGATGACCATGTCTTTCTTTCTCGTAGAATGTGAACTCTGTCTCCAGGAAGTCGAAATCATCGTAATCCTTCCTGATCCTGTGCCTATGATTAGTGATGTTGTCGGGAAGAGCTTTCTATACGTTCCACAGATGGTCGACATTGGG